AAATTACGACAGTAATACTGTAGCAATGTTTTGACTAGGTGATATTAAAATAGCCTTACCACTACAGGCTTGATCACTTAAGAGAGTCACTGACTGATACTGTACACTGACTGAGTACACTGATATTTGGCAACATTCATTAGATTTTGTGAAAATACCAAAAAAAGTCGATTTTTATTTCAAATGGGACATTTTTCACGATATAAATATCTATCATTTGTCTTCCTTCCATTACCATAAACAATGTTTTTTCATTTTACCTCGGTTCTGGTAAAAAGTTTTAACTTATTAAGTGTTACACCTCTTTAAAACTAAACGTAACGCTATGTTTTGCTAGTGTTAATGTCAACATTTTTTTGTCATGTCAAAAAACTACATTGAAAGAAATGTTCAAAAAGTTTAGTTACTTAAAGTTTGAAGTACTCGTAGTGTGAAACTCATAGCAGGACTAAAACGGCCATGGTAATTTGAAACTTACTTCAAGTACTAAAAATACCTCAAGAATCTGGTTTTTAGCGCACTGCAGTCCGAAGACTACTGAAATATTACAAATATCATCCCTACAAAATATACTTTCGTACGAGAAATAAATGAAGATGAACCAGACAGGCAACTATAGTTTTATAAGATTATGACTAAGAAAATAAATACTAATCCAAACTTTCTATTTAATATTTGTTTTTCGGATAAATGTACTTTTTTTCTAAATTGTATTGCAAATCGATATAATTGCCGGTATTTGGCCAAGAGTCGAGTTTTCTACAAAACGCATATCCAACAACCATTGAAATTAAATATACGCACAGGAATTTTAGGAACCTTATTGTTGAGCCATTCGTTTTGAAACAAAATTTCCACTAGAAAGCATATCTATAATTATTAGAGGTAATCTGATGTTGGTTTGTTTTGGAAGAACTAGAACGACGAATAGTGCATGGATCTCTCTCTTCAATCCTGACCCCCCAGGGGGAGTGTAGTGGTCGACGTGATGTCGTGTATTGTCCGTCTCCAGAGATCTCTGTCTCTGGTCATTTCTTTTAATTCATGCATAGGTCTTTGGCATATTCCTGTAATTTGATCTATCCATCTTGTTGGGGATCTTCCTCGTGATCTTCGGCCTTCTACCTTTCCTTGTATTATGAGTCTTTCCATGTTTTCTGTGTTTGCTCTCATAATATGCCCAAAATATTTTAATTGTTGAAATTGGACTTTACTAGACAGTCGTTGGCTAACTTTTAGCTCTCTTAAAATTGAATTATTTGTTCTGCGGTCGGTCCAAGGAATTCGTAACATTCGTCTCCAACAGAACATTTCAGTGGCGTCTATCTTTCTTCTCTCCGATTGTATCAGAGTCCAAGATTCACATCCGTAGGTCAGTATTGGGAATATTAAGCAGTTGATCAACCTCATCTTTATCGCTCTTGAAATTTGACAGTCCTTCCATATTTTGGTCATTTTTGCTGTGGCAACTTTTGCTAGATCAGATCTACGTTTAATCTCTTCTTGTAATGACCCTGTGTTTGTGATTAATGATCCCAGATATAAGTATGAGCTCACAACCTCAAACCGGTCAATTGTGGTTATGTGTGGATGATTGTTGTGTAGTCTATCCATTATCATGATCTTTGTCTTTGATATGTTTAATTGCAGACCAAATATTTGACTTTCGTTTTCGATCAGTCGTATAAGTTCTATCAGCTCTGCTTGACTATTTGCAAGAAGGGCTGTGTCATCTGCGAAACGTAGGTTGTTTAGTTTATGACCATTTATTGAGATGCCCTTTTCCCATCCTTCAAGTGCTCTTCGCATAATATACTCCCCATATATGTTGAATAATTGTGGAGATAGTATACATCCTTGTCTGACACCCCGTTCAGGATGAAATTCGTTCTAAAGTATGTCAAGTACTTTAACTGATCCAGTAGTGTGTTCATATAGTTCGGTTTTAAGCGTAATTAATTGTTGTGGTACGCCTACTTCTTTTAGTATTCGCCATAAGTGTCTCCACTTGACCCTGTCGAACGCTTTACGGTAATCTATAAAACAGATGTATAGTGGGATGTTGAATTCCCTAGATTTCTCGATTATCTGTCTTATATTCAGCAGGTGTTCTCGAGTGCCTCTACCTTTGGTAAATCCAGTTTGCTCTTGTGGAATTTCTCTTTGAAGAAATGTTTTCAGTCTCTCATTGGTTATATGTAGCATTATCTTGCTGGCAGTGGCATGGGATATAAGAGAGATGGTTCTATAATTGTCGCATTTATGGAAGCTGTCTTTTTTATGTATGGTCGTTATTGTAGATTTTGTCCAGTCTTCAGGCCATTGTTTGGAATGCCATATTTGGTTACAGAGTAGATGAAGTAACTTTACGCCGGTTTCTTCTGTGGCTTTAAGCATTTCTGCTGCTATCATATCTGGACCTGGTGCTTTGTTATATTTGAGCTTGTTGATAGCCTGTCTTACTTCATTTTCGAGTATATCAGGTTCTTCTTCCACCTCGTCAGAGATTTGGCTAACAAGCTCTTGGCGTTGATCATCTTTATATAGGTCCCTGCAATACGATCTCCATGTCTCTGCTATGTCTTCTCTGTTTGTTCTCAGGGTTCCAGTGTTATCTTCAATGGCCCAAGTTCTGGCTCTGAAGTCTCTTGTCAGGTAGCGTATTTTTCTAAATAGATCTCTCGGCTGATTATTCTGACCATGTCTCTCAATTTCTTTGCATATACTTTACTAGTACTGTTTTTTGTCGGCCTTACATCTTCGTTTTATTTCTTTATTGAGGTTTCTTAAACTAGCTTTTTCCCTTTCACTATGTACACCACTTTTACAAAGATTTCTTCTATTCTCAATTATTTTAAGAGTTTCATCTGTTGTCCAGTGTTTCCGTTTCACCGGATTATTTTTTTTAAGCGATCCACTGGTGTTGTTACGCAATGTTTAACAGTCTCCCATATTTCTTGTGATGTTCCGTTACGAATAGAGGGCATACTTTTCTGTACTTCCTGTAGAAGGTCTTCTTTCTTTCTTAGTTCTATCCTCTTTATTTCTCTTTGTTTGTTGGGTGCTTTAAGTTTAAGCATTACTTTAGCTACGAGGAGAGTATGATCGGATCCGCATATCGCCCCTGGATATGATCTGACTGTTTGAATGGACGATCTCCAGCGAATATTGGTGAGGACGTAATCTATTTGATTTCTAAATCTATCTCCAGGACTTTTCCAGGTATAAAGTCGACGTACATGGTGTTTAAATCGAGTATTCATGATGGAGTAGTTGTTTGTGATAGCAAATTCGATTAAACGGTCTCCTCTTACGTTTCTCTGCCCTATGCCCAACTTTCCCAGTACATTCTTTAAGTCGTCATTTTGTGTAGTGTAGCCAACTTTTGCATTAAAGTCGCCACATATTATAGTAAGTTCTTTATTTGGTATGTTAGCGATTGTGGTCTCCAGTTTTTCGTAGAACTCCTCGATCTTTATATCATCTGATGTGCTGGTTGGCGCGTAAACTTGTATGATATTAAGTTTATGTGGTTTGCCATCCAGTTTTATGAGTACTATCCTATCGTAGTGCATGGATATAGTCTAGTAACTCTTGAAATGTTTCAAAATGTTGGTCGTAAGTTCAAACAGCGACTTTTTAATTGTATGGACATTGATGGATATCATTTTAAATATTTAAGTTAATAGTTGTAGCTGATCAGTAAACTGTTTTGAATTATAAATTAATAAATTTAAAATTAAGTTTATTTTATTTATGTTACATTTAGTAAAATTTCCTATTAATGTTGCAAATTTCGTTTTAATGTAGTTTTTAACGTGACAAGACAAATTTAAATTTGGTACAAGCAAAACATATTAAAAGGGAGGAAGAAATCCATGGAAGAATTTTTCAGCGAAATATTTGTCTAATGATGTACTGTAGATGGTATTATTTAAAGTTAGGGATTTGTGGTGTTTTAAGGTAGGGGGTTGACAAATGACAGACATGTATATTGTTATACTATTTTCATAAAATCCAATGAATATTGTCAAATATCATCGTATATAGAATATTTTGAATGATAAATAAAGCATTACAAGATGTTATTATCGATATTGACTTGTAATCGATGGTTACTTTCAACATTTGTATAAGAACAATTGGTTAATGTAAGTTTCAAATAAAAATAGGTATAATTTATGCTTATGCTTAGGTGAGAACTTTAATAAATCTTTATACATGTTTAAATAATATACAAATCCGAGTAAATTTTTACTAATTTGGGATAGAGACTAGGTAGATCCTTACAAATAAAATTTAATATATTAGCTTTGAGTTTAAATTAAAATAAAAACGTAGGAACTGAACTCACAATTTGTACATATCATACAATATTACAAAATGTCTATTCAAAATGCATGAAAAATTTATAAAATGCTCCATTTACAGTGTTCTTTTAAAAAAATGAATGTTATAATTCTACAAAAAAAAAGTTTCAGGACATTGACAATAAAACAATATTAAATAATTGCTGAGAAGATAGGAAAGTAATCGGTAAGGGAATCGCATGTTCTAAACTAATACAGTAGCAAAGTATTAATACAGTCAACAATAAATATAAAAATGAAAATATTTTTGATATTAAATTCAATTCATTCAAGTTTTTTATAATTAAATTATTATTTTTAAATTTTTGTTTCAAACTATTTAATATTCAAAACAAAACTTAAAATGGAGCCTTTGCTATCAATTTTTCTATTTCATCAAAATAATCAAGATATTTAGTACTCATAATATTTATCTAGTTATATTATATATATATATATATATATATATATAAATATATATATATATATATATATATATAAGTATATATATATATAAATATATATATATATATATATATATATATATATATATATATATATATATCAATAATTAATATTAAAAATATCCTAATTATTCTGAAACAAATAACTTCAGTCATAGTAATTTTTTTTATTTAAATATATTAACTCCTACGTTTCATTTTCGTTGCCCGAAATGGGACTTTCACCTTTTTGTAAACAGTCTCTTATAACTCTTAGGACAGTTTCTAACCTACGATTTAGAGCCTCTAGATGGGGCTCCCATAGAATTGGAGCTACAGGATCGGTGCTCATGCTCATGCGCATGGCTTGGCTTAACTTGACAGGGCCATTTTGGAATCTGTAACAAAGAAACGTAAAAATAGTATTTAAAACTATAAGAAAATAGTAAAAAAATATAGGTAACAGTAGGTCTAATGTCTATCGCACAAATTTTATTGTTTGTCATTGATCATCTATTTTTATTAGAATAATTCGAATAGTAAATTAAACAAATATCTCTACAGAATTGTCGGCCTTCGCCAGCTGTTGAGTAGGGATGGCGGTTTTTGACAAAACGCCGGTTTTCGGTTATACTGTTTTTTTTTTGCTTACGGTTTAACCTGGCGGTTGTAATCGGCCAAAAAAACCGGTTTTTCCAAAATCGGTTTTCGTTTTTTTTTAATCCAATAGGTTACAAAGCTACATTTACAATGCACTTTAGTTTGCGATACTTTGCGAGACTCGATATCAATATGATCAATATTACTTAAAAATAAATTGGAGAATGCAATTCATCTTTTATTTTTACTACCATCAAAAAAAATTTATCATGTATTACTTTTAACACGTTTGTATATTTGTATAATAGTTACATTTTAACTCATTTAATATTTCCTGTATGGGTGTATTGTTTTGAAAACGCAGGGAAATCTTTGGAGATTCGTTTTCGTAATCGGTAATTCGATATTCATAGTCAGAACATAATTTTTAATATATAATGGAAAAAGCCATTCACCCACTTTCAATGTCAAGAGTCAAGTGTAAAAAATCTAGCTTGGAAAGTACTAATTTTTTAGTAGTATAAAAAAATGATCATAGTTTGGAAAGTACTAGTTTTTTTTTGGAATGTTTTGTACTTGAAGTAGCAATTATTTTATACAAAGATCGAAGAGTTGCGAGGTAGATTTACGAAATTACAAAAATTGTAAAAGTATGTATAAATATGTAGTGATGTCAAAAAATGAAACATATACGTTTATAAGTGATGTCATTCAACGAATTCGAATAATTCCTGGAAATATATACCTAAGCATTTTAATGTGCTATTAACAACGAAAAATATGAATTTTGCGTATAACACTTCAACATGATGTATAATATAAAAATAAATAAAACGCGCAAATGTAGCTTTGTAGATGTTTTGTGGGGAAACATCTACTTATTACAACCATTCCCAACCATACTGCGAACTTTTTTATCATAATTAACACGTAACGTTATATATTCGAATATTTGTAAAAACTTTTGATTATAACTTAACTCAGTTTGTATACATCAAGTGATATTAACTTAAGTGTGGATTATAAGTGATGTTATAAGTGTTTTTGCTTCTAGTTTAGGAATTTAATTTAAAATGCTTTTTGCTAATTTACAAAAATTTTTCTAATTTCACTTATTTTAATAAACTGCTTCAGCCAAAAAGTAATAACCTCTACAATTGTAGACTACCTGTTTTCAAACACTTGTATAACTCTGTTATTTTCTCTTACATGCACGTGCATCTTAGTAGCTGTTGCTAACGGTTATCTTATTTTAATTTATGGTTTTATTTGTGTTCGGGTATAAATCTTCTATAAGGTATAAATCTACTGAACACCGCACTTAAGTTTACCACAAAAGTCCTAACCAACAAAATCAATACACTAACAACTTTATCACATAAACAACAGGGATTCAGATCCGGAAGATCCTTTGTAGATACCGTATTTGTACTAAGACAAATCACAGAAAAGGCCATCGAGTACAATAAATCAGCATATCTATGTTGTATAGATATGAAAAAGGCTTTCGATCGCATCCAAGTCGAAGACGTCTTACACCTACTGTATAAAAGAGACATAGCAATCAATATTATATAAACCATCGAAAAAATCTACCTGCATAATCGAATACAGACAACGATAAATGGAAAACGAACAAAGTGTATACCAGAACAAAGCGGAGTCAGACAGGGTGTTAAAACTTTCGAGCAACCTAGTGTAATACACATTTAGTTAAGTTATACCCGACTTTCATTTTACACCACTTGAGAGGGGCTCAAGTTAGGATAGAGAGTTAGGATAAGGACGCTATTTTTATATTTATTGTTTATAAAATATTTAAGATGTGTTTTTTTTCTTTAATACAGTTTAGTTTAAGTGATTTGTTTTTGTATTATTACACCACGTGAAATTCAAATAATATTTAACTTACATCCCCTACACAGGGTGACTTGTTAAGCCCACTTCAATTTAATATAATAATGGACGAACTAATACAAGCAGTACGTAAAGGTCATGGCTACAGAAGAAAAAGATGGTGCGACAATTTAAACAAATTAGGAGGCATATTGAATAAGAAACAGGCTTTAAAGCCTACATACAAGAAGGAAGAAGACGAAGATCTGTGTTCGGCACAGTTGAGTATTTTGTCAAGCATAGAATAGTACTGGTCTACGATTATAGACCATGTGTCCACTGACGTTACAACACCTGGCTACATTGCAGATATTTTATTCAAAATTCATGGTAACTTTTATTTATTACCATTTGATACACTTGTAGTTACTGTGATATATTTTAGATAATACTATGTCTGATAATAAAAGAAGACGGGTGTAATGAAGCAACGACCTAGAAGTTTGGTCTCGATGGTTTGAGGAGATATCAAGTGGGGAAGAAGAAGACTGTGATCACGAGTCCGAAGATGATCTCGATGTGAATGTGAATTTTGCTAAAAGGAGTGATCACGAAACAATAGCTAGCCAAATATGGCATTAAAACATTTACTCTGATAGACACAAAAACGACGTACACATTCAATTTGGAAACTTACATGGGAACTCACCCAAAAGTTCCATACAAATTTGTAAATACCAGTAACGAAATAACTCTTCGGTTGGTAGAGTCCTCGCAGGTACGCGTCGTAATATTACGGCAGACAAATGGTTTAGTAGTTTATCATTGGCCAACAGTTTACTAAAGAAAAAACTTATTTCTGCTTTAAAAAGATCAAGAAGTTAAGTCATCTCTTTTTGGTTTCCAAGCTGATTGTACTATGGTGTCATATGTCCCTACGAAAAGTAAGTCAGTGGTATTGATATCCTTCATACAGAATGATGATGCTATAGATGAAGATACTGGAGATGATAGCCATAGCCAGTATAATCACTGATTATAACAACACCAAAATAGGCGTAGATATGGTAGATCAATTGTGTCAGAATTATAACATCACAAGAAATACACGCCGTTGGCCAATGGTTGTGTTTTTAAATTTATTGAATATTTTTGGCAAAAATGCCCTCTGCGTGTGTAAGGCTAATCATCCTAAACAGAAAATAAAACGCAGTGGCTTTCTTGAAAAGTGTGCTTGAAAATTAATTCGACCACAAATTGCAGTTAGATCAACAATTCCTCGGTTGCCAAGAGAAATGAGAAAGCGAGCTCAATCTCTGCTGGGTGCATAGCAAATAATCCCCCTCAACCCCTGTGCGACCGCAGAACTATGTCGGGCGTTGCCATGTTTGTTCTCGAAATTTGAACAAAGCTTCTAGAAAGTCTTGTGTAAAGTGCAGAGCGTTGCATGCAAAAACCACATGAAAGAAATCTGCAATGCTTGTTTTACTGACTAAAAATGTGATGTTTTCTGTAGTCTCTAGGTCATACAATTTTTTAACAGTACTTTCATTTATGTAATTTTGGATGATTTTGTTCTAAGTATTGTTAGGTACAACAATTCTTCTTTTGTCAAATTTACACTAAAGTTCTTATTAAAGCAAAATAATTTGAATGGTTAATAAAAATTTTAAAATGTATGGAGTAGTCTTTTTATTGTCTAGTAAAGAAATAAGTAAACCTTTTGTTATAAAAACTGGTCAGTATCATTAATAATAATTCAACAAATATACATAATGCAGTATTATTATTGAAACTATGAAACTTTTATATTTAATAATATAAATAAAATGGTCTACGATCGTAGACCGCGTGACCAACCGTGTCTCAGTTTATCACGTCCTAACGGAGGGTTAAGGTAGTTCCAACGTTAAAGGGTCATTAAGAATTTTAGACCATCAATAAGCAAATCCGACGAACGAATTGTTGATACCTATTTCTACAATAGACTCAACTACGTTGAGTTTAAGAGATTAATTTTTAGGTTAAGTACTTTAAATAACCAATAAGGATAAGGAATAACAAACTTGTAAGTACAATTTATTGACTTTTCATATGAACTAGATTTAAAAAAAAATATGTGTACCATTTAAATTTTTGATCAACAAAAGGCATGTTTGAAATTAAAATGTTGAAATAACATCTTAAAAAAACATTCAATATATTTACATAACTCTAAAGTGAGCGCGAAAAATAAACACTACTCAAATGAAAACCGAACTAGCTTCCGAGTTCGTACAAAGAGTGAGATAGCTAAAAATCAGTCATATCTGAATACTAAAAATTTTTTAAAGGCATTAAATACTTAGTCTGTTCCGCACTTAGCTGCTCATTTGATAATATAGAGTGGTCAAAAACGGATATGAAAAGCCTGCAGCGAAAAGTTTCTCACAAAGCCACAAAAACATCATCCACGCAGTGCAGTAGAGAGAACAACATTATTACGGTATCTACGTTGCTAGGTTCGGTTGGGTTTAATTTAAGTGGGGACGATGGACATATAATACGGATACAGATAGACTGACTACTGCAATACAGTGGCTTTCCCAATGCGACACAAAAAAATTAACGCAAAGCAGTCTGTGCATCTGTCTAATGGGTCGGACCACGTGACCTAAATAACCAATGAGAAGGTCACGTGGTCTATAAACCTGGCCAATTAGAAAGAGATGCAGGGACTGGTATGCCGTAGTTTTCTATGTCGCACGGGGAAAACGGACTAACATTGCAAGGCTCAGTCTATCTTATATGTCTATGGTAGGGACTAAATCACTCATTCACTCCACCTAAGAGGTCTATTGTGGGTCATCCCTTGGTTATAGTTTTCTCTTCAGCCTAGCTTCTTTAATAAAGTCTATTATGGCCTTAAGTGACACTTATACGAAGTCGTAGAGCTCGTCTCGTCATCAGCCTGACAGCATCT